TAGAGCTATATGTGGGCTGTGGTCCACAAAGGCTAGTGCTCTAATAAATTTGTTAGTCTCTAAGGTGCCACAAGTACTCCTGTTCTTTTTGCGGATACAGACTAACACGGCTGCTGCTCTGAAACCTGAAAATCGTATGTATTCTTGGAATCATTCCTTTGAAATGGAGGCTGTAATGCTCCCTTTTCCCCCTCCAGAACTGGCAGGGGGTCTTTACAACCACCATGCAGCAAAAAGGCATTACAAACTAACACCCTGATCCCACAAACGCATCCCACATGTGTAGCTTTACCCAGGTGAATAGTCCCAATTCAAACCCGTGAGACCAGTTGCGTGAGTAAGTCACTAGCCTGGCTTCAATGCCAGGGAGTGTGCATCCCTGCATATCGATGGCAGTAGAAGGGATTCGGTCCAGACAATGTCTTTTCAGATCCAGGGTGAACCCATGATCTTCCTCAAGGGCGGGCAAGTGTACCAACATGTCAGCACGCCGACAGGTTTCCACGTCCAGCAGACACCTGAGGATACTATCGCGGAGATCTAAGAGATGTGGCCAGGATCAACTCCTCCCTACTAGCACCATGGCAGAAGATCAACGCCTTGAACAGCTTCCTGATGCCGCATATCTCATTCATCCTGAGGGGAATCTGCCATGGTGAAGGTATATCTGAACAAGGCACACAGCACCATCTGGCAGCTGGTAAAGAAGTGGATGTTTCTTCCCCAAAGGGCCACCAATGAACTGGTGTACATCTTGCACAGGCAAGGTGGCGCCAATGTCCCTCAAATGAGTGATCTGTGCGACGTTGCCGTGATCACTCACGTCTTCCACCTTCTGACATGCCCAGACTCCACAGTGAGGAACATCGCGGAAAGTGCTCTGCGGGATGCCATCAAGAAGCGAATCGCCAGGACCCCCTCCAACCAAGATTTGGCCACCTACCTGAGTCGCTTGCTGGAAGGCGAATTTCGAAGAGAAGGAGAGACTTAGCTTCACTCTGGACTTGTGCCCGCAACGCTACGCGATGACTGGAGAAGTGTATTGGCTGCCACTGGACATGGTGAGAGGAACTCCAGGAGCTGGAAGTCCTGGTGCCACTGGTGAATAATACATATTACACTATCCTCACTCCGAGAGCTAGAAGCATGCTGGAGAGGACCCTGAAGGATGCCATCTGCTGCCAATATGTGGAAACCCTGAAACGGAAGCCGGACCAGGGCAAGGCGTTCGAGGTGACGTGCAAGTGGGATGCCAGCAACCACTTCCTCCCCAGGGGCAGCTTCACCCAATTTGCCGGCTGGAGGTTCATCCACAGGGCCTGGCTCAACTGCATCCCACTGAATGGAGCCATCCACCACGGGAATCGGGACAAGTGATGCAGGAAGTGTGGCTACGATAACAGGACGCTACCCCACGTCCTGTGTAGCTGCAAGCCCCATGCGAGAGCTTGCCAGCTGCACTACAAAGCCATCAAAGATCGCCTGGCCAGAACCATTCCGCCACCCATGGGGAAGGTTGCCATAAACTCCGCCATCCCTGGAACCAACTGTGACGGGACATCGACATCACCAACGAGGACCAGAAGAAGATCATCATTGTAGACATCACAGTGCCATTAGAGAACAGGACTCTAGCCTTCCACGATGGCCGAGCTTGAAAGGTAGAGAAATATGCCCCTCTGGCCAAAACCTTGAGAGCTAAGGGTTACCAGGTCCAGACACACGCACTGATCGTCGAAGCCTTAGGCACATGGGACCCCAATAAGAGCGAGTGCTGAGAGAATGTGGAATCGGTCAATGCTACGCTTGGCTGATGCAGCAACTCATGGTGTCGGATGCCATTGGGTGGTCGAGGGACATCCTATATAGAACACATCACCGGACATCGGCAGCACCAGGAGGGATGAGCTGGAGTGCTGATGAGAAGTGCAGTCAGGAAAGTAACAAATATTTTCCTCATGGATTGTATTTTCCATGGACAGCCAACCTAATTCTCAATTACTGAGGGACAATCTCCACTCATGTGTTTTCCATAACCAAATCTCTGTACAGCTCTTCATGAGTGATATACCCGAGTATTCGGATTCTAATATCTGAACTGTATTGTTAAATCTATTCACCTAAATGTGGGTTATTGCTGATTATGTACTCTCTGTATCATATGACTTTTTTAAAAACTAACTTTGTATATGTGAAAAGAATGAGTAGACTAACACGGCTACGGCTCTGAAATTTGTATATGTGGATAATCTAAGCACTATACCTAGATGTTCAGACACTCTTTCCCCAACTTATGTATTATATAATTTTTTTAACATTAGCTTTAATAAAATTTTTAAATTATGTGTGCACCTAAGTGTTTCCAGGATTGGGGTCCAATTCAAAACCTCCCCTGCTTCGCAGATTCCAAAAGGAAACAGCCGGTGAAGAAGCCCTCTTGAAAAGCCTGCTGGAAAAGATTGGGTTTGCAGTATGCCCTGGAGGTCAACCAGCTCAAGCTATTTCAGACTAAAGGTGTGTGGGCAGATTCCAAAGATGAGGAAGATACAAGGAGTCTTCACAGAGAACCTTCCTGGCTACTCTCAGATGCATCCAAAGTTGCTCTAGTTTGATCACTGCCGATGTTTTAAGTGGCATCACTGCATCTGCAAGAGGTGTTTCAAGCAGGTGAGCCCCAGGTCATTTAAGGCTCTATTGATCAAAACCAACACCTTTAAACTTCACCTGGGAGCCACTGGGTACCCAGTGCAGGTCACAAAACATTGGTGCTGTGTGTTTATGGTGAAGGACTCTATTTAACAAACAAGCTGCCGCTCTGCACTAGCTTCAGGATTTACGATATTGCTCCATGTAGAGCACTTGCAGTAGCAAGTAGATTTGTGGGGTTTTCTTAAATCAATAAGGAATAGGGCAGAGGAGACCTCCTAACAAATTGCTCCAGCAGAGGTTAATACTTGTATAGTCCAGCGCAAACGCTAATCCTTACAACACCCTCTGGGAGGAGGAGAATACTAATTCACCTACCTTACAGATGGGGGAAACGGGGAGACACCGGTTAACATGACTTGCAGGGCCACATAGTAAGTCATGGGCAAAATCTGGATTAGAACTAGAGTTCTTGGCTCCCAGTCCTATGCTTGTCCACCGGTCTGTGTACTCTAATAAGAAAAAGGTCTTTCTATTTCCTGAGTAGTGTCTAAACACAGCACTGATCTGAAGAACAGGAAAATGCTTTGCAAGAATTCATGTACCTGGTAACAGAATTATTAATTGGAACTTTATTGAATGCTTAATATAATGAAGGGGCTTGTCTGCTTGTCCTTATTTCATTACTTATTTTAATACAAAATCTGCTTCAGTCCCTGAGTATGCATTGGCTTATTTCACTCACTTAATGCAGTGCTCAAACATTGAAGGCATGACCTGCTTAACTGTCCCCACTGTGTGTTCATTGCTGGAGCATGTGGCATGTTGCAGAAAAACAGACTGGAACTTTCCACCGCGAAATAAATCTGGGGTAAAGCTCTGTAAAGAGCATTCACCCCAGAACCCCTTAGCTTTGAGATGACTCAAAATTCAGCTGTTGGGGAAACTTTTCCCGGTGCTTCCAGTTTTCCTAGGATGAAGATGGGCACACAATGAAACAGTACAAGGTAGATTGTGAGCCCTGTACTTGTGTGAATGAGCAATTATTTACCTGAGTGGTCCCACTGAAGGGAATGATTCTATTCTTGACTCTGCCATTGACCTGCAGGGTGACTCTGGGCAAGTCACTTCCTTTCTCTGTGCCTCC